CTACTACTACTACCACTACTAGTATGATTTTTTATTGTATTATTTGTAATCATTATTGTTACTGTTACTATTGTTATTATGATTACGACTATTATCATTTATTATTATTAATAATACCATTAATATCATTATTATCATTATTATCATTATTTTCATTATTAATATGATGATGATGATGATGATTATTATTATTCGTACTACTACTTTAATTTTGTATCATACTTTGTTACAATACATTATGCCATTTTATGTCATATCAGGCTGTATCATGCTATATCCTGTTACATTCTGTCACATCATGTCTCATTGTGTTTTACTATGCTATGTTATGTTGTGGTGTATTTTGTTCTGTTATGTTATGTTATAACACGTCATCTCATATTTTACTATAGTGTAATATAATATGTTATTTTATAGTAGACTTGTTACTGTTATATAGTGGGTGTGGCTCGGAGAGATATTTGACTTGGGTTTTCTTGTGGGGCCTGTCAGAGAGCAAGGCCTGCCTGCCGCTGTTGGTGCGGCTCCCACATTGAACTGGATGATTGCGATCAACGCTCCCTTGCATGCATCTAGTACGGAATGCAGGTAGTGGAGCGTGTTCGTGGTGCAGATCTTTGAGTTGTCTTCAAGCTTAAGGGCCCGGAGTTCTTACAGACCCAACGATGCAAACCGCGCCGCACGGCTGCGGACGACTGTGCAGCCTCCTCGAACGACTCCAGCTTTCCATTCAGTTCCCACCTTCCCTGAGCAGTGCCCTCTCCGAGCTGGCATAGTTTCAGTGTTTGCCAACGTGATTCTTCTGCTGTGCTACAACCTTTGTATGATGCATGCACGTGACTCAGACTCCCGTGTGACGCAGGCTCCCGGGTGTTACTGTAATCAACCCACCCCAAGCCCAACAGTCGACCCTGGCAGACGTAAGTTGCTGAAAGTCGGCAAAACCTCGACATAGCCCAAGGTTTTCAGTGGCCTCGGCAATGTGGGGCTGCCAGCCTTTCAGGCGCTGATTTCGAGCCTTGCTTATATCGGTTGAGCTGTATGAACAGGTACGTAGATTGTTATGTGCTCATCCCCTTATATCGAATTAAGCCGTGCAAAAGCATTTACGCATGCATGCATGCATGATGTGTGTCCGTCTTTCTGCCTTTTTGTCTGTCTGCCTATCTGTAGGTCTGTAAGTAGAAGTGTAAGTAATTTGGCGAGTAGGTGAGTAAGTCGGTATGTCCGTTTGTGTATATATTTGTATCTCTGTGCGTGTATGTGTTTGTATTTGTATTTGCACCTGCGCTGGCACTTGTACGTACTTGTACTTGTATTTGTATGTAATTATGCGTGCACGAGTGTGTTGTGTATTTATGCGCATGTATATAGGTACGTAGGCAGGTAGGTAGCTAAATATGTGCGAGGCTGCAGCTGTCCCTCTCATGACCTTCCTGCGTGCATGCTGTTCATGGAGCTAGAGCAACAGCTAGGGCTTCCATCGAATTTCGTGCAGAAGTTCCGGTTGATGACATTCGCTTGCCTCTTGGCCTTGGCAAGTACATGTCCTGCATAAAAAATCACACACAGCAAGCGACGTTTGAATCTCAGGAACGTCTCCGAGACGATTCCTGGGCTCTCACCTGGGGTGGCGCTTGGGGCACTGCAGGCCATGACATCAGTTGTTTCCCTGCCTCCCGGCCGATATTGATATCCGGTAGTTCTGCGTTTTAGGCCGCTTTGCACGGCGACTTTTCATGTCAGCCAAATCTGTCTGCTTAGTCTGCTTGTTGAATATTTGTGTTCGAGCCTTCATCTGCTGTGGTTTTGCCTGCGTACTCGGTTGTCTGATTGTACTGACATGCTGTGCCGGCCCCTCTTGCTTGTTTTGTTATTTCCTTCAAGTCTATGCTTCTTCTGAGAATTATGGGGTCTAGGGAGACTCATCCATGTGTGGAGAAAGTGTTGTGGGACATGAGATGGAGTGGGGTTACTTCGGTGCTGTGCAGTAAGTGCAGTATAAACAGCGAATGGCCCCTGCATCCAGCATCGCCGCTACAGGAAACCGTAAAAAAAAACAGGCTGCCCCGCCTACGCCTCCCACCCCAGCCTGCCGCAAGCAGGCGTAGAACTGCTGCACCCGAGTCTGCAAGCTGGAGCCTTTCTCACCATAAAGACCGAACTCAGCCTGAAGCATGTCAACGGACTCGAGGAGCCTAGAAACTGCAGTTTTGGCTTCTCAGCCTGCACGAGAGCAGCCCTGGGAAACCTTCATGCACTTCGTCCTCAGTTCCTCTCTCCTCACCAAAACTCCACTCTTAACCAGGCTTGGGAATCCCGGATTGTTGGAGTCATGTTCTACACCCATGTACTGTTGTGTTTCATTATGTTATGTTATATTGTATTGGTGTAAATTGGTCTGCTTCGTATTATCTTGTGTTGCATTATATTTTGCTGTACTGTACTATATCTTATTATTGTTTAGTAAAGTACAGTCTAATGCAGTACAGCACATCATGTTCAGCCTTTTTCGTTTATGTTACATTATATTACGTTATGTTACGTTTCATACAGCCTACTAGTCTCAAGATAATCTACCATAATAGTGTAGCATAACCTATAATATCATGTTATATGATATGATGTTTTACTTGATTTGATTTGAAAGCACTGTTATGCTTATCAGGTTGACTTATGTTGTATTCTACTGGTCTACTTTATACTCATTACAAAATTTTATCTTATATAATATTCTATCATGTTGTGTTCGAACGTATTAGGTTCCATTGCATCGCTTGATACTTTCAATATACTCATATTTTTCATTTTATGTACTTAACTTGTATTTTAGCTATCTTACTTTATACTTCTCTGTTTCTTTTATGTTAATGTTGAGTACGAGGCTCGGACCTCCGGCCTACCAAGCCATGCTCGCCTTCGCCGTGCAAACTCCGATTGCCGGGCAGCCGCCGGGCTAAGCAAAGAAGGGGGCTTTTGGGTGTCTAGTATTTCAGGGTTCTTAGGGTATAGGTTTAGGGTTTTAGGAGTTTTGAGGGCACGCAGAGCTCAGAGGGATGAT